TTTTGCCCTTCCTCTGGTCCTTTAGCTCTTCATGCCTACTCTGATGCTGATTGGGCTGGATGTCCTGATACTTGGTGATCCACTTTAGGCTATTGTATCTTCTTAGGTCCAAACCTCATCTCTTGGAGTGCCAAGAAACAACGTAATGTTTCACGTTCAAGTGCTGAGTCAAAGTACCGGTCCCTAGCTTGTGTAAGTGCTGAGACGGTTTGGATTATGCAGCCATCATGTTCACTATGTTCCATCTGTTGATTAGATAGCAGATCTCTTCACTAAGGGGCTTCACAGGCATCGCTATGAGTTTTTACGTTCCAAACTCGTCCTTCCTAGGCCGTCGAGTTTGCGAGGGAGTGTTAGGTAGCCCCCTTAGCTGTCTATTGATTCTTTCCATATTTGTATATTTGCAAATATTTTGTTTCATATATTTAGGCCTAGATTTAAGATTCTGTTTGATTGTGATTACACCTAATTTCTGTAATGTCTTTTTTATACTCATTGTAACAGTTATATATAATATACCTCTATTGAGATAAATACAATTACTGAATTCTCTAATCCTTACAGATATCAGAATATATGAAAGATATAAGAATATATGGAGATCCTATAATTTGGTCAAAAAAGCGAAACTTTTGTTTACCACATCAACAACACTACTCGAATAGGGGAAAAAAAAGAAGGGGTGATATGGATCACTCTAAGGAGTTACGAAAATAATGAAAACAAATGGGCTGGAAACTTGGCATATCACAAAATAATGCTACTGAACATACCGGCAATCCCGAAACAACTAAAAATCATAGAGTTTGCTTATCACATCAGCAATCTAGTGGTCAACTCAAGGAAGAGGGGAAAAAAAAAAAAGTCAAGGTGTTGACTAAATCAATGTGTTTTTTTTTCCTCTTCCTTGATTTGACCATTGGTTTGCTGATGTGGTAAGCAAATTCTATGATTTTTACTTGTTTCAGGACTGCTGGTATGTTTGGTAGCATTATTTTGACTTAGAAAATATGAGGAAGAAGAACTCCGAAAATATGAGGAAGAAGGAATATATTTCTGTTATATTCAAAACTTCTTATCTTACAAGACCAAATGACACTCCTTATATAGGAGATATTACAAACATCATTATAACCCATTATATGCCACTTACATATTATATATTACCACTATCTACCACTATCATATTATATACATGCCACTATCTGCCACCAACACCATTATCATATTCTATACATGCCACTATCTGCCACCAACACCACTATCATATTATATACATGCCACTATCTTATTATATACATTAACACAAATTTCCAGCATTTTGTGATATGTCGAGTTTCCAGTCCATTTGTTTTCATTATTCTCACAACTCCTTAGGTTGATCCGTATTAACCTTTTCTTTTCTTTTTTTTCCCTGTTCAGGTAGTGTTGCTGATGTGATAAGCAAATGTTTCATTTTTTTTTTTTGTGTGTGTATTTGGGACTACCAGTGTGTTCAATAGCATTCTTTGTGGGACGCTGCTTCTTTGGCAATCTTGTTTGTTTTGTGATACATCGTTCTTCCGACCTTTTTGTTTGTGGTGATTTGCCGTTGTTTCGGCCTTATTGCTTTCTCTCTCGGTTGGTTTCTCTTACTGCCATCATGACTGATTTCATGCACATTTCTCTATTGCAAAATGTAGATTCTTTACCTATGTTCTCCGAAATTGTCATTGAAGGGAGCTATTACAATTGCTGGCATTTTTGGAGAACTTAATTGTAGTTGTTTGTGATGATAATCCTATTTTCGAGTTCAACTTGGACATTTCACTTCAACTATTCTGTGTTCTAACTTGAGGGGGGAGTGTTGAAGATAAGATTTAATTGTTAAGATATCAGAATATGTAAGATTGTATCTCCCACTCTATATATATATATGGTGTATCAAGTAAACAAGAGTATTAAGTTGAGTGAATGAAAGATGTAACCTATAGGACTTTATGTGTGTGAATGTAGACCAAGATTGGCTGGACCACGCTAAACCTTAATGTTCTTTCTTTTCTCTTTTGTGTCTTTATTATCTCTCCATATTCAACTTTATAGTCATATTACAAAATTCAACTACTTGTACATAAGGTTGTCTACTTGGCACTCTTAAAGAGTTGATTTATTGTCAGGAAAGAGAAAAAGTCACTAGGCAGGACAAGTGAATTTAATGTGTGAGTAATATAATGCAACTCATCCAAAACCTTTGCCAACTATTAGTATTGTCTAATAATTACACAAGGAAGTGACAGTTTTTGGGCTTGGGATCAGCTGAGTATGGGATGAGAGCACAATGTAGATAGAGTTTTGGCTATTTTTAGCAACTTTTGATTTGATAAATTGATGTAGAAGTTTAAGGGCATAAAGCCATTGCAAATTTGGTGTAAGCTTTGCTGATGATTCTGAAACTGGAGGCTAGTTTCTGCTTGGTTCTCAAGCTGTCAGAGGTGATAGCAAGGTTTTAAAAAGCGGCCGCAACCGTTACGTAACGCCGTTACATAACGGTTTTGGCGGTTACCGCCACCCGTTACGGCCGCTTTTGCAGTGTGATTGAGATTCACAGGTGTATCGGTCGTAGCAGCTGCCGTAGCGGTCGTAACGGTGCCGTAGCAGTCGTAACGGCCTGTTACATACCGTTACGTAACAGTTCCAAATTGTTTCTTTCGAAAAAAACACACAAAAAAAAGCTGAAAATGGGCGAAGAGGGATGTGTGTGAATGTAGACCAAGATTGGCTGGACCACGCTAAACCTTAATGTTCTTTCTTTTCTCTTTTGTGTCTTTATTATCTCTCCATATTCAACTTTATAGTCATATTACAAAATTCAACTACTTGTACATAAGGTTGTCTACTTGGCACTCTTAAAGAGTTGATTTATTATCAGGAAAGAGAAAAAGTCACTAGGCAGGACAAGTGAATTTAATGTGTGAGTAATATAATGCAACTCATCCAAAACCTTTCCCAACTATTAGTATTGTCTAATAATTACACAAGGAAGTGACAGTTTTTGGGCTTGGGATCAGCTGATGTTAGAATTTACCATCACCTACCACACACTTACCATCACCTACCACACACTCACCTACTACACTCACCTACTCCTCACCTACCACCACCTAACCTACATCTATATAATCAATCCATTGTAACAGAACAAAATATCAATCTTGTAATACACATCAATGTATAACATCAATCAGATATCAATCAATAATAAGATCATCAGATACATTTATTCTCTGTATTTTTCTCTTTATACATTGATTTTTTACAGCTGAGTATGGGATGAGAGCACAATGTAGATAGAGTTTTGGCTATTTTTAGCAACTTTTGATTTGATAAATTGATGTAGAAGTTTAAGTTACCGCAACCGTTACACTACGGCCTTTACACCCCGCAACCGCAACCGCGTCACCGCCACCGTTACGGCGACCGCAACCGCTTTTCAGAACCTTGGGTGATAGTCAAGTTGTCATTCAACAAATTGTCTTTTGTGCATATGCACCATAAATGACGATTATTAGAATGGATGTGCGCCTAACATAATTAGATATGTACTATTACTTGCCTTAGAGCATCCGCATCAGCCTCAACAAATTTTGAGTCAAATTATAACCCAAAATCCACTTTTGTTATTTTAGCTAGTCACCTTTTTAATACTCACTACATCAAACTCTGTATTCTAACTCAATCTTATTCAAATATTAATTTCTTACTATATTTGTTATTCTTTATTTTTTTATTAAATTGATGAGATGCCACCCAAACAATTCTTAAAAAATGCAAAAAAAAAAAAAAAATACCATTGACCAGCCGATCGATTGGTTAGGCTAATTTTGGGCATTTTTCTTCTTCTGCTACAGGCACTCACGAGACATCCGGTAGGATATCCGGGTGGACAACTGGTTTAAAGATTTTGGCCCAGTTTTGCTCTAGAAAATATAATAAAAAATCATGTAGCTAATGAACAGTGGCTCAACAAAGTTGTTGAGATACTACTATAGCAAATTTAACAAAAAGTTAATTTAGAAAAAATTGTTGAGACTGATGGAAAACAAATTTGATGCTGATGCTCTCTACAGTCTGATGCGGATGCTTTTAATTGCCAGTATTTTCTTATTTAATACTTTACTAATTTAATAACTAGAAAGCATAATAGGGTGGATTGGAAGAAAGATATAACCTAGTATGGCAAAAGTGAAGTGAATTCAAAGAAGAAGCCACAAGACAGTGGTGGATCTCTCTCTCTCTCTCTCTCTCTCTATGTAATACATATATATGGTGGCATGTATATGTCCATAGAAATTTACATCCACAGTTATGATGATAGATGTACAATACTTTGACCGAACCAAAGTGGAGGAAACAATTTTTCCTAAATTGTAAAAGAAGTTTCAGACACCTTTCATAAAATCTTTACATGAAGTTGAAAATGATCCTAGAAAACAAGCAATATCTGTTGCCAAACATTATCTATTAATCCCATGGTGAAAACTAGGGCTGCTAAGCTTGAGCACACAGGTTCAAGTATGAGTCTGGCCGCTTTGTGCAAATAATGCAAAATGATAGGTTTGTACCCATTCTACCCCTCTTAGCTTCTTAGATTAATGGGTACCACAGTGGGGGTTGGCCTTTTAAGTTACTTTTTTCTGACCCCCAACAACTCGTGGTCCAATATAGGAAGTGTTAATCACCATTTAGTTCAACCTAGGACCATCATCTTTTTCTTAATCTTCCTAACTTTTCATTATACATTTATTTCATATTAATTCGGTGTAGATATTTCTTGCCCTTTAAACAATTTCTTTCTTTAGTATTAAATGGAGAAGCATGTTGACTGTTTAGTTGCTTTTTGTTTATTTTTGGTTTGCCTAGGACATTGTTATCATCTTTCCATTGTAATAAAATAAATATTTCTTTATAATTTTTCTAGCCCATGTATATACTGGTCTTGACACCAGGATTTTTGGTGACAGGTTAGGCTTGTGAAATGCGTTGTGCAGGATATAGCAGTAGACATCTCTTTCAATCAAATAGCAGGGCTCAGTGCTCTGTGCTTTCTTGAGCGGGTTGGTACTATGATTACCTTAGATCTTACTTAGTTTAATAAAATACAGTATACATATATATATATGAAGAACAAAAAATATATAAAGAAATTATTAATTTAATTAAAAGGATATATTTTTTTTTGGTAATTAGTAACAGGCTACATCTTATTTTATGATCCGCTTTCAAAATCTTCAGTATTAAGTATCTTTCCATTCATTTTTTTCCTCATTTTTGTCTTCGCAAACTCAAAACTTGTAGTTTTCACTCATTTTCAGCTTATTATTACGATATATTGGTGGGTTTGCACTGAGGATAATGTCTTTGTTTACTTTGGGATTTTAGCTCTTTTTTTATTTATTTATTCTCGTCTTTAGCTTAACTAATTCTTCACCGACTTCATTTAAAAAAAGAAAAGAGAAAGAACAATGTCTTCATCATAGTTACCCAAATACACTATCCCTAACTATTTACATTTTGGAAAATGCTTGTTTCGAAACATGGTACACTTTCATTCCAAAATAGTGAATTTTATCCTGTGTTAGATGGACTTTCCTCTTTCCCCAAGAGTACTCGTATCCACAGTATATGACATGGGTCAGGGTGTGGGATATGTGTCTGACACTCGTACCCAATTTAAATACTTTAATTTGTTACAATATATGAAGAAAGAAACTCACATTTGCTAGTAAAGCAATATTTTATCCCTCACATGAATTAGATATAAAAATTTCATATTTTTCCTTAATCCTATTTAATTTCTAGTATATTTCTACATAATTTACAACATCGCATCCGAGAATATTATATAATATGCAATATATATGTGTGTGTATATAGGACGTGTCCCCGTACTCACACCTAATTTTTGATATGTTTCTCAAGATTCTAAGAGTTAAATTTATGAAGATCTGACTCTTGGATACACACTAGCACCCGATACTCGTAAATGAGTCCATGTAACATAGATTTTATCTATCCAAAATTTTATTTATTTATTTATTTATTTTGTTAGTGTTTTTCTCGTGAGAAAAAAAAAATCATATATAATTAAGAAAATCTTGAAGGACCGGAGTTTTGGCATAAGAGCGCGTTTCGAAATATGGTACACTTTTGTTCTAAAATAGCAAACTTTATCCATTCAAATTTTTATTTTATTTTATTTTGTTAGCGTTTTTCTTGTAAGAAAAATAATCACATGTAATTAAGAAAATCTAGAAAGACCAGAGTTTTGGCATAAGAGTATCTAAAGAAAAGGGCTATAACGCCCTATGCAACATTAATTTGAACATAGGAAAACTTTGAAGTGAGTATGAATGTATTTCATTAAAGAATAATGCTATATACACCAATTAGTGTACTAACGAGTGTACCAATTGATGATGTGGCATAATTGAAGAGGTTTTTGGTATTTATAATTTGTATAATGAGTGGAGTCAATAATAATGTCATAATTAGTATTGGTACACTAGTTAGTATACTAATTGGTGCATGTAGCACCACTGTTTATTAAATGTCTAATTGTTAATTAACATCATGCTCACATTTAGAAGACCTTAACAAATTCCAATGGCACAATCTAAATAAACCTTCCCCTAAAGATTCACAATATAGAACATATAGCATGCCAATACCATGTTAAAATTCAAGTATTATTGATCGATATATTTCTTGATATATTCTATTACAAATCAGAGTGGCTCATTATATAGGAGAGGGTTTGGGTAGTAGGTGAGGAGTAGGTGAGGGTAAATTGGTGGTAGGTGTAGTAGGTGTGGTAGTAGGTGGTGGTAGGTGTAGGTAAACTCTAACAATAAATATATCATTCAAAGATAATTAAAAATGTAATATAACACTTCATTTATAAATTTACATTGTTTTTCTTTTATTATTGTATCTTAAGTTATTTAGTTCAAACTTATAATTAGTTTCATTAGTGTCTAATTGGTGGACACATGTGTTTAAGCAATGGACACGTGTGTCTTCTAAGTATCCGAAGAGTGTCCGGATCTAAAAAACTTTTTAAAAAATAGGACACATTTTGACGAGTGTCAAACATGTGTCGGGAAGTGTCCAACGAGTGTTGGTGTCCGACACGAACATGACACGGATACGCCACCTTCTTAGAAGTGTCTATGCTTCTTAGTAATAACTTTCTCTTTTTCTCCTTTCCTCTCCTAGTAAATAGTTCAAGAACTAAGAAAATAATATCTTTGTCCTTCTCTTTTCTTGTTCCAGCTTCACCTTAGCTTGATAAAGAAGTGAAAGCATCCATCATTCTCTCTCTACATTCACTTTAGCTCACTAACAGTACTGATCTTTTGATTATTTGACATCTCTCTGCTGCTTTCTTTTAGGTTGATCAATTTATTGGGAGAGACCATCTTTTCAAACGCAGTATAATCTTAATTAAAGCTTGGTGCCACTATGAGAGCCGGATTCTTGGTGCACTCCATGGCTTGATATCAACATATGCATTGGATTTGCTAGTCTTGCATATAATTAATCTCTTTCATTCGTCAATAGATGGTCCTTTTTCAGTGAGTGCTTTTGGTCTGCATTTCCATTTTTGCATCATTATCTAAGTACATGATTGTTCTGCTAACTGTGATGTTATATTTGAAGGTCTTGTTTAGATTTTTGGACTACTACAGCACATTTGACTGGAAAAAATACTGCGTTAGTTTAAATGGTCCGGTTTCCATATCTTCTCTGCCAGAAATAATGGGTAAGTGATATTTATTAATTAGGGATACTGGGAGTGTGCTGAGCTTGCTCTAAGCTCTCCTTGTAATTGCCACATTTTGGGCACATGTCAATTTACAGACAGCAAACCATCATTTTAAGCCCCAAGTGAATCCTAGATTCTAAATTTGGGCTCCATAAGTTTTACACTATGGTCAGATGCATGAATGACTTTTTAAGAAATGGAGTCTGTCAATTAAAATTCGAAGAAAAAAGAAAATGATACGTTGGCTGGCATTAATTTATGCATTTGCCAATGAAAATGGATTTCATTTTTTGTGGGTCTGAACAACACAAAAATGGTTGGATCTGTGTTTTGAAATAAACATTGTGTGATGTTGATTTAAATAGAATTTATAGCAGATTGTAGTGGCAGGGGGTTTTATTTATTTTTTCTCGATCTAGTCCTTCTCATCTAATTGTTTAAGATACTCTTTTTTCCTGATTCCCCTTTTTCTTTTTTGTCTTTTTCTTTTTTTGGTGTACAGTAGGGGCACCACAAAATGATGGGAGTGACTTGTTGCTTAGTAAGGAGTTTTTGAAGAACGAAACAGATATTTTCTCAGTTTCAACATGGGAACTTGAGACTAGAGAGCAGGCATTTCCTTTAAAGCATCTTAACATCATTGATCCTCTGAAAGACAACAACAACCTGGGGCGAAGCGTCTGCCAAGGTACTTGACTTTTTTTCTTCCTAGAAAGCTGTACTAAGAGGCTACCTATTGACCTTTCGTGATTTAAACTTCCTGTAGATTTGGAAAATGTAAACCTTTCCTTCCCTTCTCCTAGGGTTTTTAAATGATAAGTTCAAATGAATAATAGAGGTCATAAGACTCATATGGTGTGTACTACTAGATGATCATTTGGGCTACAAATTGGCTGAGCTGTTGATGAGCAGCGCACGCTTGGGTGGGGAACAAGCTTGCTCAAACTCATTGAATTTGGCTGAAAAAGTTGGTCTCGAGCAGATTATCTTGACTCCCTAAGAAGCATAGACACGAACAGGCTACCAGGACAATTTTCAAAAAATGTTAGACACAACAAATGGAGAAGACACGCAAACTTTATAGGTTTATATATTTACTATATGTCATTATATGAATACTTCATTCAAATATAATAAAAAATGCAACAAAATACTGATTTCGAAAGTTTAGAGGACGGTTTATAGGCATGAACTATGAAGCACTGACACTTAAAAATAGGCGTCGTAGCTGTGTAGGACACGGGGACACGCCGGGGACACATATGGGACACACCAAGTGGTGTTTTCCCTTAATTTTATTATTTTCTTTTGTAAGGTGCACGGCAGGGACACGGAAGGGACACGCCATTTAATTATTTTTTTAATTTTTTTTTTTGTTTTCAAGGGACATGGCAGGGACACACGTGTTCAAATATGGATAATCTATTAATTTGTTTAAATATAGTGATATTGAATTGATATTATTTTTTATTAATTTTGATTATTTGGTAACATAATATTAATCTACATAGCAAATATATGTAATAAAAATAATTATAATCCGTGTTCGTGTTCCCATTTTTTAAAATCACCGTGTCCCATGTCCGTGTCCGTGTCTGTATCTGTGTCCGTGCTTTATAAATGTATATCATTTTTCTTTTAGGGTAAATTGGTAGGAAGTCCCACCGAGTGGACTTGTTTGCCATTAGGTCCCATGATTTTTTTTAAATTTAATCAAATAAGATCTCAATTGAATATGAAATTATGTAAAGAAAAAAAAAAAAAGAAAGTAAAAAGTACATTTTTTTAATCCAAGGGTCTGAAATTTCATACTTTTGAAAGCTACTTTTGAAAGTGTGAAAGTTCATGGCTCCTAAATTCAAAAAAATGTGAAATTTAAACATTTTTTTACATAATTTTATAGATCTCTATTAAATATGAAATTATATAAAAAGAAAAAGAAAAAAAAAAGGGGGTAAAAGTCCATCCTTTTAGTTCGAAAATGTAATTTCACACTTTTGAAAACTGTTTTAAAGTGTGAAAGTTGTTAACTTAAAAAAGTGTGAAATTTATTTTTTCTTTTTTGCATAATTCATATTCAATCATTGTTGTCAAATTGTGAATCGAATCGTGAATCACTTTTCTGAAATAGTGATCGTAAGATTTATTGATTCTATATATTTATATACATATAAAAATACATAGTGTTTAAAATAAAGTAATTATCAGTATGACTAAATTTTATATATGTATATACATGTAAATCACGTATATCAATAGAACTAATTAATCTCTTCTATATATCTTTATAATTTGGTTGTAAACAAAAATAGAAATAGAACTAAATTGCAGTGAATCTTGTTAATCGTAATGAATCACAATGAATTGTAGCGAATCGTAAATTGAATCGTACGATTCACTCAATTTCCAATTCAACAGCACGATTCGAATCGTTTTCGTTGAAAATCACATCAAATCGTTTGAATCGAATTGTGAATCGTACAATTCTAACAACCATGTTCAATGATTCTAATAAAGGAGAGTGTTTTGGTCATTTGTTAGAGTGCGGAACTTATAGGGTTAATGAATATAAATGAGACTTTGGGAAGTAACATTTTTAGCCTAAGATCCAAAAAGTCACTAAAAAAACCAAAAAGCCAATAACCTATACCAAAAAGTCAAAGATTCCTTCTTCTCTCTACTTTTTGCATATCTTTTTGTAAAAAACCAAAAATCATCCCAAACATACTAGTTCTTTTTTCCATCATATTTTAGCCAAAGAGTCAAAAAGTTACTAAAAGTTTTTTGTATTGCAAAAACTGTTAACACAATCTACACTAGGAACCCATTTTTGCCTATAATTGAATTGTGTAGTATTTTTTTTGAAGTTATACCAGGATGTAGGTGTTGTTAATTATTGATAATTTATTAGGCCACTAAATTTTAGTATGAAGTATTTTATTAGCCATATGTTTATTAGTCACATCCTTCGTGCCAATATAGGCACAAGCTTGCATGGAGGGGATTGAGATTGACCAGTGCTTATATTGATACTCATTGAGGAGTTGTTCACATCATTGTTTGTGAATGCCCTTGTTCAATTGTCATCAATGGCTTTGTCATATGCGACCTTGGTTGGTTGATCATTACATGCACTATGCCATCTAGTTCTTCGGCTAAGAAGTATTGACAATTCAAGATGGGTATCGTGTTAGTGTCCGTGTTGGAGAAGTTACAACGTCATATTTTTCTTTAGAAGAAACTTTTACTGCTCGGTTTCCACTGTTGCTTTGTCTTGCAGTAGACAAGGATGACGTGGTAGCTTTGGATTTGTCTTTAGAAGATGAAAAGGTGGTGTAGGATGTGAGGATTTAGAGGTAGGTTTTTGATTGGGAGATTGATCAATTGGTGGATTTATTAGCTTTGCAGTATAGCATTCGAGGGGTTGGGTTGGGGGAAAATGGTTTGGTTTGGTTTGGTGTGGTGTGGTGTTGTAAGGGTGCTAGAGGGGTTTTCTTGGTGCCCTCCTCTAGGTGAGGCTTATAGACGTTTCATTTCCATGGCTGAGTGTGTGGGTTGTTGGTGCGCCATCTAAAGTGGCATTTTTTGTGTGGACGACGGTGTGTGATAGGATTTTGACTTTGGATAATTTGATTCGCTGCCGTCAAATTTTGGTCAATTAGTGTTTTACGTTGCTAGGATGCGGAATCTATCTTGAATTTGCTTTCATTGTCCTGTGGCCTTTCAACCCTGGGTATGATATTTGCTGTGCTTGGTTTGGATTGGGTGTAGCAGGGGAGTGTGAAGGAGGTGTTGTATAGTTGTGGGGGGGGAGGGGGGGGTTCAAGTGGGGAAGAGGCGTCAGAAGGCCTAGAATTTGGTACCTTTGTGTTTAATGTGGTTGGTTTGGTTGGAGCGTAATCGACGGACTTTTCAAGGGGTACACGTGCTGGTGTCTTGTTTGAAGAATAAGTTTTATTTTTATTTATTTTTTATTGGTGTTGTCTAGTTGGGTGTCAGAAGGGTGGAGCCGGATTTATTTTCCTTTTTGGATTTTGTTGATTCTTTATTTGTCTAATATGTAGTTCTGGTGGTGCTAGTTGTATGTCTTGTTTGAAGAATAAGTTTTATTTTTATTTATTTTTTATTGGTGTTGTCTAGTTGGGTGTCAGAAGGGCGGAGCCGGATTTATTTTCCTTTTTGGATTTTGTTGATTCTTTATTTGTCTAATATGTAGTTCTGGTGGTGCTAGTTGTATTTGTTATAATCGCCTTAATACTCTTTTTCTAATAAAACATTCTCTTTATTTATCACAAAAAAAAAACACACACGCAATGTGGCGTGTCATTTTTTTTTTTTTTTTTTTTAAGGACACATTGGGGACACTTCATGGAAATGCATTTTTTTTAAATTATTTTTTTTAAACACCATTGTTAAAATCCCCTTTCTTTTATTGTTGAATCCTAAAATATTTTGTTCAAACTTGGAATGTGATTCATGTGTGTTTAAGTGAAGGATACATCTCTCCCCTAAGTGTTCGTTTCAAAAGAAATTTAAAAATAAATAAATAGTGGGACGCATTTGGACATGTGTTGAAAACATGTCGGGAAATATCCAACACGCCACCTTCTTAGAAGGGTCCGTACTTCTTAGTTACTGTAAGCTCACATTGTCCCACTTAACTAAGTTCTAGATGCATTTATTATCCCACCATTGACATTTGTTATTGGAATGGAGTTTTAATATCATTTGCAACCCTGTTGTCTCTTTAATTTTCTTCTTCTTTGGTTCTGTTAGGGATGAAGATCTCTAGCATTACAAAGGCTGTCAAAAATTATTTCTTGAATTCTCTTGGCCTGATTTTTATTTATTTATTTATTTTATTTTTCCTGTGTAAAACAATTCATGGGATTTTGAGGGATGAATATGAACAGTTCTATTTTTTTCCAATCTATTGTCATCAGTTCCTTTACCCCCTTACTTGAACTCAAAAAACCTGAACCAACAAAGGAAGGTTTTAAGTTTATGGAAATTAGGACATTGGACTCTGCAACACTTGATACAACCGTGACTAGCAGCCCAACCAAAGACAATATTCTAGGAAGTTGCTTATGATGGTTTCCCATCACGTTGGGTGACTGCAATTGTAAGATGACTCATTTGGTTCTCTGGGATGGAGTGAATCTGACAATAGAAAGATTGAACACACCCAAAGTTATGTGGAGAGAGAAAATATTGGCCTATTTATTCACCAACCATTTGAATGTGTGTTAGGATTTGAACTTGCAACCTGAGTATTTTGTCTAAGATGCATTGTTATTGTTGTTGTTGGATATCATCTCTTTTACAATAAATCCTAAATGTGGTTTTTATGTGGTCATACGTATATATAATTTAGTTATATTGATATTTATTTCATTTTAGATACTGTATATATATTTTTATATGTATATACATACATAAAATTATACATTATGCTAAATTAAGTGAGACTTACGATTCACAATATGTTTCGCAATTTGATGTGGGCAGCACTTTTATTATTTATTCCATATGAAAGGGAAAAAGAAAAAAAGCTACTCTGTTTATTATTTTATGATGGTTGGTTGGTTGGTCTGTTTCCCTCTAGGCAATTTTTATCGGATAGGATATGCTTTATCCTATGCAGCTCGGAAACTTGAAGAGGTCATTATGCTACCTCCAGAAAGAATTGATGAGGGATTGAAGAAGTTCTTTGAGAACACTTTGAATTGGAATGCAATGGGGCGTAGGCAAGATGTAAGAGTTCCTGTTCCAGTATTTGGCTTTGGGGAACCTGAGGTCTCTGACCTCAGTGTGGACTACAACAGTTACTTTACCCATTTGATGTATTTCCATTACTATCACAATCAGAACTCATCTATACGGTTCGGCCCTCCTACATTATCTTTACAATTTGCCAATCTGTATTTTGTCTATCCAACAAACACGGAAGGTTTTGTGCCAAGACCATTCTACCTTCCATATGTTGCTCAGTCATCAAGTACTGCTTTGGGTGATGAAGAAATTATGAAGTTTCTTGGAACTGGCACTTACTTCTCTACGGGAATTGTTGCAGAGAATTTGTACTCACAAGGTATAGGCACATACATTCCGATTATGGAGTCACGAGGAACAGGAATGTTCATCCCTAATATTCGCATTGAAGAAAAAATGCCGCAAGCTAGGTGCATCGTTGGAATGGATGTTGAAGACAAGGTGAAGTCAGAAGGAAGATTTATACCTGATAAGGGTGTCAAGGAAAAAGGAAAAATGTCACTAGGAAGAGCTATATGCATCTCTGGAATGGATGTTGAAGGGAAGGTGAAGTCAATAGGAGCAGAAACATTTATATCTAATAAGGGTGTGGAGGAAATGAAAATCCCCAATATGGATGTAGAGGAAATGAACAAATCTCAAGGATCAGTAACCAAAATCCTCGATGTGGGTGTAGAGGAAAAATCTCAGCCAGGAGGAACAGCTACATATATCCTCAATGTGGGTATCAACAAAAATGGTGAGTCACAAGGGTCTGGCATATACAACCATTATGTGGGTGTTGAAGGAAACACAAAATCACAAGGAAAAGGAAAACACTCATCTGAATTGGTATATCAGCCAGGAGGAACAGCCACATATATCCTCAATGTGGGTATCAACAAAAATGCTGAGTCACAAGGGTCTGGCATAGACAACCATTATGTCGGTGTTGAAGGAAACACAAAATCACAAGGGAAAGGAAAACACTCATCTGAATTGGTATATCCATTTTTTATTTATTTTTTCTATTTATTCTTTTATTTTTCTGATTTCAAGAAAAAAAAAAATTAAACAAGTGACTGGGCCTCTTTATCTTAAAGTAAGTCTGTTCTTGAAATTTAGGAGAGGGAAAGTCCCAAGAAGCAGATGCATATCTGGGAAAGGGAGATTGACGCTGGACAGAAAACCCTAGGTTTAATGCCGAAATCGTCTCTAAAGAATGAGCATGTTAATGTTTTGTCAGAGACCGAGGACAGCTGTGGCTGTATTGATCTATCACTGGAAGATTTGCCCCATCTTTCTGCCACTAAGAAGACCATACCATCAAAAGCTCCACAGCCTGATCAAGCCACTATAGAGTCCTCACAAGCCAAAAAATCATCACACCTCTCAAAGAGAGTTGAGTTTGGGTTTTTTGGGCCTTCACTGCCACCATTGATACTGTCTTCGCCAATGGCAGACTCTGAACAACCAGAATCGTCCGAACATAAGGAAGATAGGTATGGTACATATCATGGTTGTTAAAATATTATGATTCATGATTCAAGCTGTTGAATCTTAAATCAAATGAGTCTTATGACTGTATTGTGATTCGGTGTGATTTATTTTGATTCATTGTGTTTCGTTACAAGTCACTTCAATTCACTGCGACCAAGTTTTGTTTGCATAATCACAAAAATAAAAAAGATCAATTAATGTTGATAAATGTGGTTTTTATGTGGTCATACGTATATATAATTTAGTTATATTGATATTTATTTCATTTTAGATACTGTATATATATTTTTATATGTATATACATACATAAAATTATACATTATGCTAAATTAAGTGAGACTTACGATTCACAATATGTTTCGCAATTTGATAAGAATGGTGCATGTAATAAATGGAAGATCTATCTGGCTTTAGAAAACGTTCAAAATGGCTTTTACACATTTTCTCATTCTGGCTGTTTTTGCAGGATTCCGGTACAACCATACAGACTGACAGATGAAAAGGACTTCCCGCCTTTGTCTCAGTGAACGTATTTTAGAGAAAGGAGTTTTAGGTGGAATGACAAAAACAACAGTATGGCCAATGACATTTTAGCTTACTTTCTTGTTTCGCAGTTAACTTCTGCTTGCAGAGTAATGTTCCTGCCATTCCCAAGTTTTCCTAAGTAAATGTTGACTTTCTTTACAAATAAAGAACCTGTAATTTGCTTTTGTTTTCCCTCTTTTTGTTTTGTTCTAGGAGATAAATGATAAAGAAGTAAAAGATGTTTTATGCTGCCTATGCTGGTTACAAACAATGTTTGGTTGTTTAGTTAACAAATGTTTTGTTGAACTTATTTTCTCATATCTTTTATTTCTTACAATTACTTCCAAGAGTTTGCAAGATCAGTATCTATTGCTCTTGGCCTCTCTCTCTCTCTCTCTCTCTCTCTCTCTCTCTCCTTTTATCAAATCTTTCTAGAGAGAGAGAGAGGTAGATATCTATATTGTCACAAATTTCTACAACTAAATTTTTGAATATGTTTTAGTAACTATTGAGTGTGATGTAATGATACACACAATTATATGATTGATAGATGAGTCGAGTCTTCATCAGCTTTGAAGGAGGTTAAATTACTCTTTTATCATCCTTTTTGAAAACATTTGTTTAAAGCATAGAGTATGTTTCATTGCAGGTGATGAGGATGACTTTGTTTGAGAACCCTTAAATGGCATTCAAAAGTTCTGATCTAATCTCGATTATTTGTTTTTCTTTTACTACAAACATAAAATGACTCACTTACACTTTTTACTTGTGTGATGGGTTAGATTGATCAAACAACACCATAAATTCATAGTACAAAAGCTTCGCATACACTGTATTTATGTATAAGGTGTATTTAAATACATTGGTCACCATCCAATAGGTGAAACCCTTTTATCATATACCCGTGAGCACCCGGTTTGAGTCCATACCCGATCCAAAGCCTAACAATTGCCATCCTTCTTTGTACCACCTCTCTGGCTGCAAATACTTTTTTTTTTTGTTTTTTTTTTGCACTTTTTGATATGCCAACAATTTTTTCATGCTTCAACTTAAGGGACATAAATTTTCCTTTCCCTTTATTTTTACAAACTTAATATTCAAATACAATTTTACAATGACTAATATGAAAATCTAGTCATTATTTAGCGTGACAGTATCTCAAAACAAACAAAAAATTATTACATAAAACTGATACATCACTTCGCCATTGTCATGTGTCTGTCCAATAGTGTTTTATAATTTGTCGAACATATTCCTTATTTTCGGGATCATGTAAGCATTTGGCCTCATATTATTGGGCAAAAATACAACCAACATGATGTTTTTGAAATATTATTGGGTTATCAAATCATGGTTCAACAGGATTAGCACTTGGACTAATGGATGTTAGATTTGGGCCAGTGTCTCTCATTTATAATCATACATTTATTTAGTAGTTTTTTTTTTTTTTCTGTGAATGATACAAATGAGCATAGAAAAACATAGTACATTAATTTTTTGAGCTAATTACATTTTTTAGTGCAAAGTATGAGTTTTGTGTCATTTTAGTTCTCAAAATTTAAATCGTGTCAATTTAGTTTGTAATATATAAAAGTGTTTCAATTGGATTCCTAATGTTTAAATTGTGTTAATTTGATTCCCAATATATAAAAAAATATTTCAATTTAATCCCCAATATTTAAATGATGTCTATTAGTAAAGTTAGTTTAGTCTTTTAAAAAGTAAAATTCAATTAACAATGACTCTGGTAACATCTTAAACTTCGACTACCAACCCCCCAATGGTGTTGCTTCATGAAGCTTTTTCTCTTTTTTTTTCCCCCTCTTTTTTCAGTTTTATTACAATTGTTTTCCAATAAAGTGCATTTTCTTTTTTGACAGAAGCTGAAATATATAGTAGCAGCAAAGAAAGAGAAACATAAGGCTTGAAAAACTGAAAAGAACTACAATAAAGTCCAATTTACTATACAGATTTATCCTTTGGTACAACTTCTACTTATTATTGAAACAAGAATACAACATGAAAGAGAGATTCAATTTACCACACCAAAAGAAAAAGGAAACAAAAAAAAAAAAAAAAAAAGGCAAGAACAAAGCTCACAAATATATTTTTGAAGAAACTAACGAACCGTACACAAATTAAACTTGAATAGTCTAATTTTTTATAATGTATATAAATTTATCATGCCAAAAAATAAATCATTCCAACTTCGTTTAAAAATTTACAAGTTTTAAAATGCGTTCAAGTTTGACATGCTTATATAACGAGTTAATCTCAAACAAATTTTTAACAAATCAAACACGAGTTAGTAGTATAATTGATAACTAAAGATAATAATAATAATAAAAGAACTTGTATACAAACATTTTCACCTTTGATTTAAGGCCTAAAAATTGATGCTGCATAAAATTAGCACCCTAATGATGCATTTGGTTGAGAGATTTTAGAAAGGAATTTAAAAAGGAAAAGGAAAAGAAAAAGTGTGAAATATGTGAAATATAAGTATATTTTATTCACATTTCACCTACCTTTTCTTCTTCCCTTTCCAAAACCCTTCTCTAATCCCTCCAACCAAACACAGTTTAAGGGTTTCATGAAATTCAAACTCTGACTTATGCTTCCTGACACGTCTATCATGGCTCAACTTACAAACAATTGGGTTGAAAGAACACAAAATTAGGTATCTCTAAAATGTTTCCTTGAACACCTGTTTTCTTCAGCATTTTGATTATTCCATATAACAACCACACAACAGGAACATATCAAATATCATTCAGAGTATTCTTTATAGAGTCCCACATATATATATATTTCACATTATTATCTTCGACATTTCAGAGTAAGATGTTACAAACTGTTCATGCAGCATAACAACTATGCACAATACTAACTGCAATATATTTAGAGATTAGAGACACGCACAACATCATACGTATAGACCCGGCTGCCCAAAGTTGAGCCAAGCGAAGGATGAGGCCGCTGGTAATACCATGAACTTAAATCTCAGAGTGAGACACTGTCTGGAGAGTGAAAATGTACATCTCACAGCTGTGAGAATCAACTTGAGCACTAAATGATGCCACGGCATCTCCCACATCTTGATGCTGCAACGAGTTAAAATATTAAGAATAAAACAACGGTTGACAGGTCAAAAACTTAAAAAAGCAATCAAACAAACTAGCTGAAGCTTTTAACATTTTGTCATATGATTAAAATGTCTTCTTATGTAATCCAAATGCTGAATAGAAATGTTGATTCAAGTCTTTGGAGTACTACTCGAACTAACAGCTGGTGGTCAAAAGGATTTGAAAGAAACCTTGGAAGGATTGAAGCATAGTCAGAAAGAACTTAAACAAGTGTCTTTTTAATCAAATACGGAACAATATTGTAGTGTCCAATAGGACTTGGATGTGGTGCAGCAATGGACTAAAATTTGGGCGTTTCTCGAGTTGTGCAGAACAACGAAAAGATAATTTTGGGAATTCAAGATCATCAGAACAATATTTTTGAGGGATTTTAGTAGAGCCTGTACCCGAGGCTAAATTTAAGCCACAAAATCCAGATACGTTTAATATACTTTTGCTTAGGTGTCCATGAAATCCAGTGTTCTTACCTTCCACAAATCTCTCACAGAGACGGTAGTAGAGGATTCAAGTCCAAGTGCATCCCATGCAGCTGTAATAGTTGCAGCTTCTGAACATCGATTCCAAAGAACAACAGCCAGACGATGTCCAGTCAAAGGACCAGCCCAAACCTGAAGATAGAATCATAATCAATGAACTAAGTTAGATATCTTCTGCACTTTTTCCTTTGATAAAAGAAGAAATTAAAGAAAAGAAACCAAGAAAAAACAAAAAAATAACATAAGCTCACACAATACCCCTATATTTCGAAAAGTTGAAAAGTTGTGGATTTGTGATGAAAGACAACTAGAAGAGAAGGATGATAACCTTCCAGCAAAGAAGCAAACAAGAAAGAAAGCCAACATAAGCAAACAAAAAGAATCAAGAAAAGCTAGTGCTAATAATGAGAAGTGTCATTAACAATAGACAACAGAGCAACCATTTGAACACTTGCTTTAGCAGTTGGCCAACTCCTCTTGGCTTCTGTTTCTAAGGTGTGTGCTTTCTCAAGATGAAATTAGCAGGAATTCAGACTTTGTATGATGCAAATAATCAATTCCTTTCTTAAATTAATCTACTGTATATTCACCTTTGGCTTCCCAAGGAGTTAATTTTGGTGGAGTACTTACATGACACTATTTTTCCAATTATTTGATTTATTTTAACAAAAATGACACTAAGGAGTAGTTCGTAATTACTTTAAATTCTTCGGACACCACTAAAGGAGTTTAAAGCTTTGGCCTTGTTTGTGGTTTTACGTCTCCCAAATGGAAAGATATCCATCTTCTGGGAATTCTTGGAGATGGTTGAGTGTTGTTTCCTTTGGCCCAGTACTTCAGCTACACTGGCCTATGCAGAGATGAAGTTTGAGGACTCAGAGGTTGACCTACTTAGCAGTGGATTCTTCAGCTGTATGGGTTCCCTCCCTTTCCATCTTCTTGTTTCCTTCATTCATCTTAAGGAAATGTCCACTTTCATATTCTTCTTAGTTTGTACATACATCTCCAACTAATCAAATGAAAATACCATTTGTAACGAGAAAACAATTAACTCATTGTAAAAGAATATATTTTGTCAGAACACACAAGAAATAATTCCATCTAAAACCACCCTATAAGAATGATTTCTGTGATACCCCCATTTGAACAGGGGAAAATGATTGGTCAAATTCTTACTGTCATACTTGGACTGATAGATTGATCGGGAAAAGATTTAACCTTGGTACTATGAGATAGGCTGTAGCTATCATCACAGACGATATAAAGAGGTGCAAGAAGGAAGTACCTGAAGGCAATCATCTGTTCCGGAAAGTTGCACTTTCCTCCCTTGAATGCCAAGTAGGTCTGCAAAAAGAAACAAAATCAATCTTAGCTTTCTCAATATGGTAGGTATACATAGTTTGGTGAGTATGTGTGTGCTGATTTATGCAAATTTATCTTTGAACTAGTAAATAAAAACAAAGTTCTGAAGCCGTAAAAAATTGGCTTAAACTACTCACACCTCCATCTATTTCTCCTCCTTGCAGAGAAAGAGAGCGTCAGAGTATCAAAGAGAGAAGCAAAAAAGTCTACCTTGGTTCACAGCGATGACCTCTGTATTGCTTAGTATTTCAAATGTTTCTGCAGTCATGTTTCTTACATCACACCCAATCAAAAGAGGAGCCTGCATATTCAAGCAACAAAATTTCAAGTTGTTACAACAAAAAGTGGTAAAAAGGGCCCCATAAGGTCAGAGGTAGCATATGCATTTTATCAATTTACGCTATCCCTCAAGCAGGCTTGAACTAGTAGTTAGGTTGCTGCTCCTTTACATTGTGCTTAAACACTCTCATGATCAATCAAATCTTATACTAAAAGAAGAGAAAGGGAGAAAAAAGGTGAATAAAAGCCAAGTAATTAATAAAGAGCACCTTCATCAAAGCCCAAATGCTAAAATGTGCTCGGTACTCCTGGTAAGTCATACCCCCATTGCCAACTTCTAACATATCCGGATCTGCCAGAAAAGGTTGATATGCAGAATGAAAATCCAGATTCATACACACAAGTGGAGACCGATAGCCATCCCACACTCAAAAACTCTTTGTAAATATCACATTCTTACCATTCCATCCACCGGGACCAGCATAGGCCGCCCATTTGTCATTAACATCAGCCATGGCAGTCATGCTAAACAGAAATTGGGAGGGGTGTGGTGAAAGGTTCAGTCAGTGTAAGATTTATTTACAGTTTGTAAGAAGGGACTGTTGGAGGTAATTGATTAACAAAAGAGTACTTGTGATGTGCATGCACTCTTACAACCAAATAACGACATTCATGAGGAAAACTAGCTGACTCAGATTCTTTTGAAAGGAGAGAAATTTCAAATAAAAAAAGCATTTGATTAGATATTCATCATACTGGAAGCAGCCAAATTTCTGTAAAAGTTTGAAGGGGGTCAGTCAAATTCTGATGTATATAATATCTCCATGATCTGCAACGAGATTTCAAATGGCTCACTCCATAGTCTATGTGAAAATATGAATCATACATCATGCATTTCCATAATAGATGCGAGGCCTGAGTTTTGAAGTTCAAAACACCAAAACCTGAAGTTTGTACATAGCCATAGTTAACCTATTATGATGATTAATCATTGCAGATGCCATTAATGTCATTATCAACACCAGATTGATTTTAAAAGTATCTCAACTTCGTTGACCCCTAAAAATTCAATGCCTTTGGTTAGGGTAAATGCCTTTCACTAGACCTCCGTAATCAGGGTGTGACAAGTCAGGTGATAATTAGCAAAGAGCAAAAATACCTTCACCATTCAATCACTATGGGTATTTTAAAATTTTCAACTTTGGGTTTATGCTCTTCCAAAGTATAAATAAATAAATAAAAATTAAGAGCCTGTGATTTGGGAAAAATAAGACAAACAGATTTTGTTTGTTATACCACCCAAGGATTTAAAAGTTGAGAAATTTAGAACCTTGCCCATGTATCATTGATGTCATCTGTTGTTCGCCAACTATTTCCAAGCTTGCCAGCCCATAAGGCAGGGTCATCGACACCCCTGCCAAACCCAAAAGAAGAGACAAAGGGTGCTCTTAAGGTGCACCAAGTGAACTTAGATAGCTATACAACATAACCAAAAACCTGAGATTACCATTCACAAATGGAATAGAAAATTGTACGTCCAGTTGCATTTAGAGCATCACGCATTGGCGGGTATCTGGAATTATGGAACCGCATTACAGTCAATATTACAGATACTGATATATGAGAATTAAAAATTCAACAAGACCAAAATGGGCCAAACCTTTCCTGTGGTTTGATTCCTAGATTGTAACAGTTGTCATACTTCAAAAAATCCACACCCTGAATAACACATCATAAAATATCAATCAATGAAGCTCATGGATAGACAACGTGGTAAACTAGCAGAATTTTCATCTAAATTCATGAATTCCTGATTTAATTTTAAGACACATTTATCTGGGTATTTTTTTATTTATTATTATTATTTTTTTTCAGATTTGGAGGTAATTTGGTAACTTTCTTTTTTATTTAGAGAACGAACTATTTAGGTGGTTGTTTATGAGAATTATTATGCCCTCCCCTTATTTGGAATACCTTCAAGTTCTAGTTTGTCTTTCAAATACTTGTTGGAATTTCAGGAAATTCTTAGTCTAGCAAGATAGTCTTATAAAGTCAGCTTGCAGAGACAACAATACAGGTTTAGATAATGAAATTTCTGGAAATTTCTCTTACATTTTTAGTGGTGGTGAGACTTCATTGAATCCTTTAAGATGCGATTCCTAGAAAATCTCAATGAGATTCAAAGGTTCTTCTTATATGTTTAAATTCCAGAAAGCCTCTGCATAAACAACAACCACATCTATCTTTTCTGTCACCTTAAGTGAGTCCTTAAAACCCTTAGACCTTGATCCAAACACTAACCTTTATATTCTAAAACTAAGATTTCTCTGTTGTCCAAAAAATTCCAAATTTACCCTACAGCCCAGAAAATCCAGCAACTTACCTCCTTAAATTTCCAATTCAAAACGGCATCAAAGCTCAATCATTCTGACCACTATCTATGCTCAAACCCTCAATCCAATTTCCAAATCCTTGACCATTCCAAACCCACGGTATTTAATTAACACTTGACTTTTTCTTCTTCTTATATTTGATAAGATATGTCACAAACTAACCCAAGAGGCAAAGAGCTCTGCATCATCATTTTCATGGTAAATTGATCCAGGTCGAACTTGACATGTATACATCCTACAAATCAAGTTGAATAAGTCAGAAGAGAGAAATCAGATTGTGACAGCAGTATAGAACACTTGAGAAGTAAAAACAAGATAATAATTTAATTGTGATCTAATTTATAATCCTCTGACACAATATTAGGAAATTAATTTTACCCAGCATCAGAATAAATTCCAAGCTTGAGGCCTTTCTCATGTACATAGTCAGCCAGAGATTTAATTCCCGATGGAAAACTTTCTGAATCGGGGGCTAGTTGACCCTGCAAGACCAATTTACAATGAAAATAAATTTTTTGCAAGTTGACACTATCTCCAATACCTGGTTTTAAAGTTCAGTTTCTACTATTTCTGAGCTTAACAACCAATATATTTATATCAAAAGTGGCCTTTAGATCCAAAGTAAACATTACTATGTTTTAAAGAGAGAAACTATTTTCCTAATAGACAGCAAGGTATATTGCTCAATTCTTTTTTTAGTGCAATGGTGATGGACACAATGAGAGGGTAGCTATAAGGTGGAACTGACAATTTCAATCCCAAGTCTCGAGTACCACCACCAAAAGACTTTACCAAGTAAACTAGATGGAAAACATGGCATAAATGTAGTAGTAAGATTTAAATGTAGTAGGATTTAAATTGACCTCTGAATTTCGTTCTTGAGCCGACCAGCAATCATCTGATTTGAAAAAAAAATTATTTAGTATGAAAAACAGAACCAAGTTGTGAAGGGGAACAAAACAAATAGATCATGTGGATGAATACCTATGTTAACATAAACATAACCTAAATCAGCCAAACTAGTTGTGACAAGTGCATCAGCTGTCAAAGAGGAGAACACATGTTAGCATTTGTGACATTGAGTCTTTGAAAACAGGATAAATGAAAGGACATATTTCTATTCACGCATTCAAATGAAGCAAATTACAAGTATTAGAGTGGCATATATATAAAAAACAAAAAAATAAGTGAACCAAAGCAAGTGCAAGTTTGACTACATCTTATGCTATGCATTTACAATCTGCAAGGGATCCTAAAATTGCAGCCAAAGAAAATGAAGATTCATATAAGTACGAAACATTTTTGTGCATAGGTTTATTCAAAGGCTGATTTTCATGTTTCTGGCTTCTTGTAAGCACCAACTTCCAATCAGATGCTTTACAGCACCATGGCTGTTGAAGCACCACAACTCTAGCAATACCCATTCCAGTAAGCACACAAAAAATCCATAGTATCGAATTTGACTCCAAATAACTACAAGGGACAACATTTGCATTTCTAGCAAGCAAATCACTGGCTCTAGTTTGTCATTCCAGCCATTCTTCCACGCACACGCCGGGAGGGCTGTTTTCACTTTCACAGACAACAACAAAATAATAAAAAAAACAAAAAACAAATTGTTCCTAATTCTATGCCAGCCATATTCGAAACTTTATCATGCATTAGACTAACAAAGTGCAAGACAATACCTGTTTCCGTGATAACTATTTCAGTAATGTTGCATGCAAAGAAATTCCAGCTATTCCATCTGCCCCACACAGAACAATCAAATTAAATAATCTAAAACTATAAGGGGTAAATTACATCACCTCCCTTGAGGTTTAGAAAAAATACAGTTAGCCCACATTTTTTATATAATTATACTAACCTCCCTTTTATAAGACAAATCGACTGAAACTAATGCACATAGTGGGTAAACATTGAAATAAATAAAAATAAAATATACATTTTAGTAAATAAAAGATGACAACATCATTTTTTTCTTTCGTACGACTAACGAATTATTGATGGAAAAAGACCTAACTGTTATATAATTAGCATCTTAAGGTATGTCCAGTGTAATTATGTCAAAAGTGTAGAACCAATTGTATTTTTTCCAAATCCTAGGTGAGTGTAATTTACCCAACTATAAACTATCTAGAATTTTAAACTAAAACATTAGCAATTTAAATAGCTAAAAGAAATTCAACACACAAGCATATCTGCAAACTCTGATTGGTTATCCAATTTTCCATTTTCAATTCTTATTTTTATTTTTAGTGAATTTTCAATATTTTCATCAATTTTTTTATTTTTTTAAATACATTTAATCTAGATATACTCACAAAAATAAAATATTTATGAAAAAATCTTTAAAAAAAATCAATAAATAGAAAAATTAACTGAATTTTAGTATTTTGTAATATTTATTGAATTTTTTTAATGAATTCTTCACAAATATTTTACTTTTTATTACATCATGCATCTAAAAAAAAAATTGACCAAAAAATTAACTAAAAAAAATATAAAAAAATACGAATATTCAAAATTTAATTTTGAAAACTGGATAATCAAACAGAGTATCATACATGATTCAATTAACGTATACACAACAACAACACAAAAAGAAGAAAAAAAAAAAAAAAAAAAAAAAAAAAAAAAAAAAAAAAAAAAAAAAAAAAAAAAACCTCCTTCCTCAATTAGTCGAAACATATGTTATCCAGAACCCAAATCCAATTTCCAAGAAATTTCGTCAATCATTCAATAATCTAGCAATCCCAGAAAGTACAATAAATAAATAGACAAATCATCAAACTGATCGAGACAGAATTTAAGTTCGATTTGAATGGTTGACCAGAAAAATCAGAGAAAATCGACATGAAAAGAAAAGAATAAGAGTATACCCCATGGGAGGAGTTCGAGCCAAGCCATTGTTGAGTTGAAGAAGACCATACTTGGAAGTATCAAAGATATTGGAACTGGGTTTTTCATGGTGGTTCTGCAAGAGAGGACGTGCTTGGATTGCAAGAGCAATCGATAGATGCAGAATCAGTGTGTAGTATAGAGTCTCCGTGCATTTCATCCTTGCCATTAGTCTTCTCTCACTCGCTTGCTCTCAGAACAATTAAAGACATACATACATATGAGGAATTACAACAGATAAAGACAAGGTTGGGGTGGGGACGATTAGTCTAAAGCTGTATATAAATAAAATAAGGGGAACTTACTAAGTTCAAAATTCAGTTAATCTCAAAATAAAATATTTGTACTAATTAGTCTAATATATTTTTAATTGTTATCAAATTTTTTTTTTTTTTTAATTTACAGACACTATTCACATTTTACTACCGTCGGACTTCCGTCAAACGGTCGCTGGAGACTCGTCGGAATGTTCAACATCGCCGGAGACTCGTCGGAATGTTTAAAACATGTTATGAAACTGTAAAATTTTACAGTTCTAAAAAATGTTATAAAACTGTAAAATTTTACAGTTTTAAACCATGACTCATTCCAGCACCAAAAAAAAATAAAATTGAAACTGCAAAATTTTACAGTTTTCACCTCCTGTAACTAAAACTCGAAAATTACTTGTTCAAAATTCGAAAATTTTCTCATTACAAATCTGTGTGATATCTGTACAAATCTGAATCATTACAGATCTGTTTCAATGATATTATAGATCTATTTTATCATCAACAACAACAACCATAGATCAACAACTATCCCAAAAAAAATCTGTAAATAGAGAGAGAAAGATAGAGAAATTGACAAAGATATATACACAAATCTGTTCAATCTAAGCACAGATCTGAGGATGAGCGTCTTCATGTTCTTGTTCTTCATCGTCTTAGTTTTAGTTACAGGTAGTGAAAATTGTAAAATTTTGTAGTTTCAAATTTTTTTGGTGCTGGAATGAAACATGGTTTAAAACTGTAAAATTTTACAGTTTTAAACCATGACTCATTCCAGCACCAAAAAAAAATAAAATTGAAACTGCAAAATTTTACAGTTTTCACCGTCTGTAACTAAAACTCGAAAATTACTTGTTCAGAATTCGAAAATTTTCTCATTACAAATTTGTGTGATATCTGTACAAATCTGAGTCATTACAGATCTGTTTCAATGATATTATAGATCTATTTCATCATCAATAACAACAACCATAGATCAACAACTATCCCAAAAAAAATCTATAAATAGAGAGAGAAAGATAGAGAAATTGACAAAGATATATACACAAATCTGTTCAATCTAAGCACAGATCTGAGGATGAGCGTCTTCTTGTTCTTGTTCTTCATCGTCTTCTTGTTCTTGTTCTTCATTGCCTTCTTGTTTGACTTTAGGACTGAGATTAGGGTTAGAGGAAGAGGCGTAAAGAGGGAAGCAAAAAGCAGAGAGAGAGGGGAAAGGGCTTTTGGGTGTACTCAAAAAGTTATGGGATTAAATGGTGTCCACATGTTCCACATGGGACCTACGGGTAATTTCCCCATAAAATAATGACAATAGATCCTATCCGGTCCAGAAACAGATTAGACAGTTTGTTGGGCCTAAGTGGGCCGAACTCAAAACTCATACGGCTTATTAAAGGGAAAATTATCGAGAAGTCTTTTTTAAAATTTGTGTAGTCTATTTAGTCTCGCAACTTTTTGTTGATATCGAAAAGTCTTATAACGTTCTTCTTCTTCTCTGTCTCTATTCTTCTCTGTCTCTTTTGCTCTTCGTGATTTTCAACGATTGTTGATGAATAATCATATCTTGTTTCTTCTCTTTCTCTTTCCGATATATAGTCACCAGCGACCGACGACTACCATCGATTGGGATTCACCGGCAACTACCGACCCCCGACTCTTTACTTCCCCCTTACCAACGGTAAAGAAGATATGTTTCCGACGAAGAAGATGAGTAGATCTACTTAGATCTGATGTAGATCTACATCAGATCTGAGTAGGCCTATATCAGATTTAGCTAGATCTAAACAAAAAATAGTTATCGGGGTACAATCCTCTCTCTATATCCGCCTTTCTCCTTCGATCTCTTATTTTTTTCTACATTTTCTCTGCTATACACTTCTCTTTTTCTGTTCTAATGGGGAAAATTTTCAAGTTCTGAACAAGTTGTTTTTGAGTTTTAGTTACAGGTAGTGAAAATTGTAAAATTTTGCAGTTTCAAATTTTTTTGGTGCTGGAATGAATCATGGTTTAAAACTGTAAAATTTTACAGTTTCATAACATTCTTTAGAACTGTAAAATTTTATAGTTTCATAACATGTTTTTCAGTTTGATTAATAAGGATAAATGCTTAATAGATTTTTGCTTCGAAACTGTAACATTTTACAGTTTCAAAGCTTACTTTTCAATTTGATCAATATTGAAAATTATTTGCTTAAACCTTACAAAAATTGAAAAATAATATATGTTTTTCCCATTGTTGTTGTTTTTTGTCGTTTCATTTTTTTTTTCTTTTAGTTTATTAATATTTAACACATTTTGCTATGTTTTTTCGTTCTAATTTCTTCATTTATTCTTTTTTTTTCCCGGCAATATTCTAGACATTCCGGTGAGTCTCCAGTGATGTTCTTAACTTCCAGTGAACGTTCTGAACATTCCGGCGACTTCCATTAACGTTCTTAACACTCCGGTGAACTTCTGGCGATACTCCGGCGACTTCCTGGTGATGTTGAACATTCCGACGAGTCTCCAGTGACCATTTGACGAAAGTCCGGCGGTAGTAAGATGTAGCAGTGTCTGTAAATTTTTTTTTTTTTTTTTAAAAAAGGATTTTTTAGTAACAATTAAAAATGTATAGGACTAATTGGTGCAAGTGTTTTGTTTGAGGATTAGATGGGCCTTGAACTTTGTATATGGGACTTATTGGTAAATTCCCTATTATTAAACCGTTTAATATGTAGATGTTGTTAAATATGTTATTTTTGTCAAAAAAATCATATTCATTAGATATTAATAGTTGCTTGATCATATTTCATTTGTATTTCTAATTTTTTTAAAATTATAATTATTGTTGAAATAAATACAATCTGATTAAGTGGTCATCGATATCCGGTCAAAATGATTTTTTACAAGAATAATGTACTTGACAAGCTCTGCATATTGAATAATTTAAATCATAGAGAAAAGTTCAAAGTTAGGCCCATTATGGCTCAACAGCACTGTTCAGTGCAATTCTGAACAAGAGAGAAGTTGTTCTCATAAATCCTTATCCATTCCCAACATAATTAATTCTTATTAATAATCTTATTTGGATAACTATATCTTAGGCGCATCTTAAGTAACTTAAAATAAGTATATAGTATTGTGCAAGAAAGTATGTGATACAAAAAACATAAAATTTTATTAAATTTTCTTTAACATATTTTAAGAGCACACATAAATTAGACTCATCTGATTAATATATTTACAAATTTTAGTGGGATTCCTTATTTTTTGAGAATTTTTTTTAAAGTTCTTGATATTAAAATTTTATAAGATAAATGATATACAATATTTTCATAGTAATTGAGATCTCTCAACATTTTTACATAGAAAATTTAATTTAGAGAAATTTCGACACAACTCAGAGAAATTTCGACTCCGACATAGAGAAATTTTGAAATTTCTCTGACTTGCATATAAAAGTTATCTGCAAATGTAGTCAGAGAAATTTACTCTCTTGTACATTTGATTTTCACTAGACACATTACACACTTGCATGTTGATTTTTCTGGCACATTTGATGTTTTTTGAAATTTTTCTGTCATTATGTTGATCTTTTTTGGCCATCACACACTTGCAATCTCACTTGCATATAAAATTTATCTACAAATGTAGTCAAAGAAATTTACTTGTATATTGATTTCTCTAGCACAATTGATTTTCTCTTAAATTTCTCTGTAGATGCAAACAGTGAAATTTACTTGCATGTTGATTTCTTTGGCACATTTGGTTTACTTTCAAATTCTATGCCATATTGATTTTCTTTGGTCATCACACACTTGCATGTCCAGAGAAAATTACAAACTTATAAGCATGTTAAACATAGAGAAAATCACAAAGAATTGCTAATTATTCCACAAAAACACAAAGAAAATCACATTTGAACACAATTTCAATTAATTTCTCAATCCATACATCTAATTCAGAGAAAATTAAAAATCACAAATAAAAAATAAAAAATAGCAAAAATTAACTTGCTACAATTTAGCCAAAAAATTGAACTTTTTGAATACAACCTTGCATTTTCTCACAATAACCCATAACAGAGCATTGTCTTGGTTTGCTTCCAAAACAGAGCACTCTCAGATCTGCAATTATCTTGTTTCTCTCTCTAAAAAGCTTCGATTTTCTATGTTTTTGGCTCTCTTGTTCCTCGAACTCGGGTCACTACCTTCAATCTTAGCTCTTGGAGTATATGAATCAGCTTCTAGGGTTTTTATTGTTCAGAAAAAGTGCAATCTAAGGCCTAAGCAGCTGTTGAAGAGAGATCGATGGTGAAGGGTTGTCACCGGACTGGCGACTAGTGACAGCGATGCGATGGCAATCGGCGACACTGCAGTGGTGTAAAGGTAGGGAGGATGGGTAGTTCAATGGGTGAAGAGAGAAAGAGACTTGGAAACATGAGAAAAAGTTGGTTGGGTTAGTGATGAGGGACCTTAACTAATAAAAAAAGAAAATATATATTGGATCTCTCTTACTGCTCAAAGGTTAGTAGAGATCTTTCATTAATTTTCCTTTATTTTTATGAGTGTATTAATAAGAATTTATTTATTTATTTTTTCTAATTACGCAAGGTAAATGATAATGTTTAATGGGGATAAATTGGGTGGGTTTAGTTAGGTTAACTTGAGAGGTTATCCAATAAAAACAAATTTGTATTTAGAATTACTCAAGCCTGGCTTATCATTCAAACTTGTTTATCCAAGCCCTACCTAAACATAATAAACAAAAACTCGAGCTAGGCTCAAATTGCGTTCAAATCTAAGTTTTTTTTTTTTAATTTTTTAATTTTCAAACTAAGTTGATTAATTTATTAAGGCTAGCCCTCATTAACATTTTTTGGTAAAATTATTAATAATACCAAAAATAATAATATATAGGATAAAATATGTTAGGTCCCTTAGTCTTGTCAATCCCGCGAACAAG